GGTCAAAAACATTAGTCTTCTCAAAAAGCAACCCTTCAGTAGTGCGGTAGTTCGGCTCGGTCTCTGGGGCCTCCTTGACTTTCTTAAGGAGCTCACCATAGATAGGGTCCTGCGCGTAGGATTCTCTAACCTGCTGCGGCAGATCCTTTCCTATATCGAGGTAATGTACCATTGCCCCAAAATAATCAGCTCTTCTACTCAGAGCATCCGCGACTACGTTGTACTTCCCTTTGACAGGCTTGAGCTCAAAGTCTTACTGATCTATCTCTGCGGCCCACCTAGTAAGCTTAGGTGTCATCTTGGCCTGCGTCTTTAACCATCGTAACGTTTCATGGTCAGAATAGACTTTGAAGTGCCTCCCAAGCAAGTAGTGCTTCCAGCGGTCTAAGGCTTGCCTGAGAGCGTAGAGTTCCCTCTCGTAGGTAGATGTCGCGACCTTCTCTGAAGGCATTCTAGCGGACATGAACTCTACGGGTCTATACCCATTGCCATCGTCTTGCTGTAACACTGCGCCTATGCCGTACTGGCTAGCATCCGTAGTAACGACAAAAGGCAAGGACGGATCGGCGACCTTAAGGACCGGGTACTCTATCAACGCCTGCTTTAGCTTCTTCATGGCAGACATGCAGTCCTTGTCCCACTTCCAGATTGTCTCTTTTCTTAGCAATCTGCGAAGGGGCGCTGCGATGGTGGAGAAGTTCCTCACGAACTTCCTGTAGTAATTTGCTAAGCCCAGGAACGAGCGCAACTCTGTCAGCGTATGTGGCGTGGGCCAATCTCTAATCGCTGCGATCTTGCTATCTTCTGGCTTAACGCCGTCTCCGTCTAAGACGTGGCCTAGATACAAAACTTGGGTCTTCGCCCAATCGCACTTCTTCGCATTGATCTTGAAGTTAGCTTCTCTCAGCTTCTCCAAGACCTGCCTGAGATGACCCTGATGCTCGTCAAGGGTCTTACTAAACACTAGAATGTCATCTAGGTACACTACAACAAATCTATCTAACCATGGCCCAAACAAATCGTTCATACAACGCCGGAACGTAGTTGGCGCATTGGTTAGTCCAAAGGGCATCACTATAAACTCATAGTGCCCGTACCTAGTCCGGAAGGCTGTCTTATACTGATCATCAGGATGTACCTCTATCTGATGGTATCCGGACTTTAAGTCTATTTTAGAGAAGTACTTGGCCCCTTGCACTCGATCTAAGAGATCGTCTATCCTCGGCAGTGGCTCAGCATTCTTTACTGTAATATCATTCAGACCCCTATAGTCTATACACATCCTCAGCTCTCCCTCTTTCTTAGGGACAAAGAGAACAGGGGCTCCAAAAGGAGACGAACTGGGCCTAATCCAACCCTTTTCGAGGAGCTCGTCCAATTGCTTCAGTAGCTCCTCTAACTCGCGGGGACATCCTATATACARCACCCTTAGGAGTTCTACTGCCAGGCTCTATCTCAATACGGTGCTAGATGGGCCGCGGCACCGTGCCTATCGGCGGCTTAGTTGAATCCTTAAACTCTTCCAGCAATTTGGCAATA